CAGAGGGATGTGGCAGGGAGTATGGCTGGAAAACCAAAACAAGGAAAAACAAGTACATGAATGAGGAAAGTTTGTGCTGGACATTTCACTGAAGGCAATCTGGAAAGAAAGAATTGTTAGGAGATGATGACTCAAATGCAACAATTCCATTTATCTTATTGGAATATTAAGATTCCAATCCTATATATATATATATATATATATATATATATATATATATATAAAATAATTTGGGATACAAGCATCATATAGCCAACCCAGTACAGCCCCTTACAAAAAACTTCTGCTCTTCTGGGATCCCTTAGCATTTCAGAATTATTCCAGTTCATTCCATAAAGATGACAAACATTTGTAGCTGCTTTTCAGTACTGAAATATATTGGTGTCTATAAAATAGGTTAAGCAAAGAAACAATGCACACCAGTATGATTAATATGACATTTTAATTGCTACGTCAGGCCTATTTTCAAGTATTTAGTGCTAGGAACTGACAAAAGAAGTTCTTAATAAAAAAGCCTGAATGATTGAAGCTATTTAGAGGCCCTCATTGTACTGTGCTGTCAAAATGTCCAACTGACCTTTTCCTGATGGTAAATTTTTCCAGGGAAGATTTCATACAGGCTATTTTAATAGTGCTGATTGCCCACCCTCTCCCTCAGTTTTTAGATTAGATAATGGTCAGAGCGAGAGAAATGTCACATCCTTGCCTAGACTCTGGATTTGGCCAGGGGCATTCTGTCTGAAGTCTGTGGAACCTTATTTAAATTTTTAGGTGGATATTTCTGAGTGCATCATTAGCCATTATTTTATATTTTCAGTTCGGGGCAATCCTGGAGGTGTTGTCCCTCCCATAAATTCAGTCAGGAGCAGAGGGAGCCTATGGAAAATAACTCAGCTCAGTGGAGGGAGGCTGGGCCACTCCTTGGCAGGAATGATGGGGTGGGGAAGTCGTGCTGCAGTGTACCTGGGAGAGCTCAGCATCCCTGTGGGAATGACTCTGTCACTGCCCCCAGACCTCAATCCACCCCTTCCCAAAGCCAGCACATCCCTGGCAGTGCCCAAGGCCAGGCTGGACAGGGCTTGGGACACCCTGGGACAGTGGGAGGTGTCCCTGCCATGGCACTGGGTGGGATTTGAGGTCCCCTCCCAGCCCATTCTGGGATTCTGTGCTTCCATGACATTGTGGCTGCACCAACAGAGGCACTTGAAACCTCATTTTGGGAGCGCTGAGATGCAGCAACCCTTGGGCACATCCAGGGCAATTGTGGGGATGGTGTCTTGGAAATATCAGTGCTGGAGCGGAATAAATCAGACATAGGAGGATAGAAATCAGCTTAGAGTGGAAATTAATTCCGGATTTAGATGAACTGTGCTGTTTTAACTTGTTTAACTCTTGTCACCAGGGTATTTTCTGAAAAATCTTCTTTGCCCAGCACTTTTCTCCTGAGAAGCTGAGAAGCCTCAGAAAGGAAATGTAAACAATAATTATCTGATTGCTTGGAATGTGGTCTGGAGGCTGCTGACCACCAGGTGCATCTTTGATTGGTTCCATGTGAATTGTGTTGACTTAATGACCAATCCCAGTCCAGCTGTGTCGGGACTCTGGTCAGTCACGGGTTTTTATTATTCATTTCTTTTTTAGCCTTCTGAGGTATCCTTTCCATTTATTTAGTATCGTTTTAGTATAATAATATAATGTAATGTGATATGATATGATATGATATGATATAATATATAATATAAATCAGCCTTCTGAGAACATGGAGTCAAATTCTCATCTCTCACCTCGGGACCTCACAACACCACAAACTGTAACTTGCTGTGCCCACAAAGGCTTGCAGAGATGGACAGAAGAATGCAAGGCTGTGATAAGAGTATTTTTCCACCTCTACCCTCACAATAAACCACATTGGTTTACTCAAGCTCTGACATCTTTCAAGCAGGGAAACCAAAACCATTGGTTTATTCAAGTTCTCACATTTTTGTGCTCCCTGAGTAGACAAAAATCCATGGAGGGGAGCACAGAGGGATCCCCTGGCACGCCCCAGAGCACCCCAGAGAGTCCCCAAACCCCTGTGAGCAGATGAATCCCCTCGTCCACACGGGCCCTGCAAATCCCTGCAGGAAGTTCTCCACCACCGAGGCACAGGCTGATATTAATAAAGCCCTTTTTGCACATTTACAACACTTTTGTTCATGGATGTGATTTAGAGCTCGGTGTCAAGGGCTGCATTCCAACGACCCACAGAAAACAGGGAGTTTCTGCACTCTGGGATAATGCTGATTTAGGGGCTGGTGCAATAACACACATGGGCTATTTTATTTCGTTTCTTGGCATTCCTATTCAAAAATTGCCCTATAAAGAAGGGAGAAGGTGTTAAATAAAGTTTAAATGCTCGTAAATCACAAAGAAACATTGTGCTCGGAGCGAATGGAAACATTTGGAGAGGCTCAAAATTGCTTTTTTCATGGAGAAATATTTTGTTGATGTGTTAAATTCAAAATGAAAATCCCTGACTGTGAGTCTCTTTCATGTTTTGGTACTTTGCTTAGGTTATCAAAAGAAAATAGGTATTATTTTTCCAGCTGTCTGAAAACTTTGGCTGGTCTGTGATTTTCTCTAAAATCTGCTAAGTCTGGGCCCAAAATTCTCTTTACTGGGCACCTTGAAATGGGGTTTTTAATTCAGGTTCTTGGCTGTTAAAAATCAGGAGCATTGCAGAGTTTTTCTGTTGTTTTCTTTTCAACTTCTGGTTTTAGGGGATTTGTGCTGTTCCTATTCCCAGTTTTTCCTGCAACTCTAAGTGACAAACTTCTGAACTTTTGATTCAAAAAGAATCAAAAATTCCTTTTGACCCTTTCTCTTTTCTTTTTAATGAAAGCTGCCAGCCATGTGAGCTCTTTCCATTTCAGCATCAGCTGCTTTAATAACACTTTCACATAAAAAGAGCTGGACTTTCAGTGCTTTGGGCAGCTCAGGCTCAATTTGTCCTGGTGAAACACCAACAAAAGGATTGGGGAGCTGGAGAGGAGAAAATGAACCTGCACAAGTTCTGCAGTGATTTAGGGAGGGTGGGAGGAGCTGGATTTAAAGTTTTTTCTCCTTAAGACTGCTTAGCTCTGCTCCTGAGGCAGAATATTCACCCTGCAAGCTCCAGCTCCAAGGGAATTCAGCAAGGGAACACTCCCTCATATTCCTGGGGTTCTGCAGCTGCCCCTTTTTAAAAAGGGCTGCTCCCATGGGAGCGACAAAATGGAGAAATGCTGAAGTTAAAGGGTCTGGTTTGGATCTTCTACAGCCAGAAAAGAACATCATGGGTGCACAAAAGTGAGAAGAAATCTGAAGAAGTGTTTCATTGTTTACTTCCACCGCAAGGAAAAATGTTTTTACTTCATTAAGGTATTATCAGGATTTTCTACAGCACATTCATTTCTTTCTAAACCATTCTCCTCTTTTGAAAGCTGTGTTAAACCTCTTCCTAATAACTCCTGTGATTAGGAACTTTGCAGAAATCCCAGAGGACAGACTTCTAAAAGTGACATTTTATTTCCAGAGCCTCCCTGTAATTAAGCATCGCTCAGGCATTCTATTGAACTGTAACTGCTCTGCAGAAAATCTCTTTTCACTTGAATAAAAGGATGTTTTGGGCAAAGTTAGCAGAGAATTACATTTATGTTATGAAGTATAAGAATTTCAGATTCAGTTTAATGAAGGGAAATAAAAGGTACCTGTTGTTTAATGGGCACAGAAGGTCTGGGAGTGAGCAGAGGTCCTGCTGGACACCTGCTGGGAAGGGATGCTGCAAAAAGCTCTCTCAAAACCAAATAGGAGTGACCTCTAGAAAATATTTCACTGAATGCAGTCTGGGGGTTATTAAATATCACCAGCTGGAAGAGATCTTTAATGTCCCTTTCAACCCAAACCATTCCATGATCCTGTGAAGAGTTATTTGCTTGGACATCAATCTCTGCCACGTGGTTCTGCAATGATCTGATCATTTTTGAGTTTATTTTCTGCCAGTCCAGCCTGTGGGATTCTGTGAGGAATCAGAGAATCAGAGAAAGGTTTGGCTTGGCAGGAGGTACCAAAATTTTGGAGCTTCCTCTGTGAATTCCCATTGCCATGCCCATGGATAATCAACATATTTTAATGTGTTCTTTGAAGGATTTCCATGCACAGCTGAACTTCTTTTACTCATTCATGTGCTGACACATCCTCACCCCCATTCCAACAGTCCCCTTTTAAAAATATTTGGGGTATTTGGTTACCTTGTAGTTATAAATGTTTACAAAGATGACACAACATGGATCTGACAGTGGGGAAAAGAAAATAAACTTCAGAGCAAAGTGAGAAGGAAGAAAAGATTTCCCAGTAATGAAATCAGGCAAAAAACACCTTTTATCAGATGTAGTTCAAGCTGGCAGGAGCGTGGCTTCAAGTGTTGAGCTGCATCTCCTGAGTTGAAAGCCAAGCTCTGGTGTTTCATTTGTCATTCTGGGGACTCAGGAGATTGAAGGGCTTAATTAGCTGCTTTTATTTATATTTCAAGATGATGAAAATCAATGTTCTTCTCATTTACCTTCACACCCAACTCAAAGATGAATCTACACTTTCAAGCCACAGCAAAGAATAACAAAATCAGGAGAGAGCAACTGATCCTGCTTAATGACAGCTAGATTTCAGCTCTCCCTCAGAAAATATTCAGTGTCCCTGGAAGTTCTGCTGATCAGAACAGTCTGTGCATTGAAAAGTCCTTTAAAATGGATTTGAGAATATGTGGAGTGTCTGAGGGTATAAAAGGTGCTGCTGTTTCAGCTCTGCTTCAAGGCCTGCTGATGCCACTGAAAGTTTTTCTGTGGAATTCACTGGGCTTTGGGTTGGTCCATAGGAGACTCATTTTATTTATAAGTTTTATTATAAATTCTTCTTTTCTGCAGAAAATAGCACAGGGTACTTCAAATAATGTGTTTTATGACACCTCCTCTAATACAGACAAGTGCAAAAAGTAAACAAATAGCTTTTATTTAATTGAAAGTGGGTTTTTTTTAACAGGATACATCGAAGAACATGAGATAAATAATATCCACATCACAAGAGTTTTAAATCTCTGCTCCCCTCCGTGGCATTCAGCTTGCACAGGTTGACATTCCATTAAAATGCTGTTCCAATAACAACTACTTGGAGAAAATTTGAGACCACCCACGTGTCAATCCCAAATTAGGTTTGGCATCACTCTGTTTAATTAATGCATGTTGATTTACCCCTTCATTTCCAAGCCTATTTTTAGAAATTCATGGAATTTTGGTGCCTCATATTTTCTTAATGAGAGACCACTTCCTCCTCCCTCCCCCTCCCCAGTGTTGATTTTTCTCAGGAATGTTGCTTATGGTGAAGAATTAAGATAAAATCTACACTTTTATTTTTAGAAGTCCATGGCAGAGCATTGCTGGAACCAGCAAGGAACAGGGCTTAGAAGAGCAGAACTCAACAGCAGGATCCCAGATGCCAATGTATGGTTTATCCTTTGGGATAATTTCATTGCTCCAGAGCTTAAACCTGCAAAAATATAAACAGACAGAGGTAAATCTGTGTCAAAATTAGTTTTTCTTTACATTTTAGCTTAACAGCAATCTCTGTTTTCTTTTCATGAAACATTATCCACAAATGTAATTTCTATTTATTTGTTTATTAAACTGTAGTGGCCATTTTGTGGAGTAGGGTTTTGGATCAACACCTCACCTTTCCCGTGAGTATCTTCTTCAAGAGGGTTTTGACTATTTTGTTGCAAAACAAACTATGAATATAAATATAAAAATGCTCCCTTTTGTATGAATAATAAGTTATTTAAGAGAGCAGAGGCAGCACCCTCTGGGCCCACCCCAGCACAGCCATGGGACAGGGCAGATTTAGGGCCACATTTTGTGGGAGAACTTTGACTTTCCCAAGAAATCTTATTCCTGTGTCCTTCCCTGAGCTCTGCAAGCCAGGGCAGTGGAAACCTGCACTAAAAATAAGGTGTGGAGAAAAACACTTTCTCCTCTAATGAATGTCAGAATATCAGAGACAAATTTATAGGAGCCAGCACCAAAAAGCACCAGGAGGGAAGACACCTGTGGCAAGGGACAATCTGGGAATCTGTTGTGCTTAGAGGCACAGATTTCTTCTTATGCAACAGCATTCAGAGGGGGGAAAAAAAAATATCTCACTTACTCGATATTTTTGGAATCCTAATTTCCTCACTGCTGCTGCCATCGCCACCGTCGCTGACGGTTCTTATCTCGATGAGATAATCTTCTTCAAACGGGACCAGAAGTTCAGCTGAAGTGTTGTTTGTCTCCAGGATATGGGCTTTGCTCTGCCTGTTCTGTCTGTACAGAATCTAAGCAGAAAAGGGATTGGAAAACAAGGGTTATTTCATTTTATTTTAAGTTTTAATGGTTTTTTTTGGGGGGATACTGAGAGATTCTTCTGTCGTGTCCCAAAGTTTTCTGAGCACTCTCAGCATCCTGCAGGGTGTTAAAAGCAATTTAAACAGGGGAATAAATTCTGCAGGATTTTGGGGTGGGTACCACAGCAGGTGGTTTCCTAGAACCTGAGGATAATCAAAGAATTCTGCACTGAAACCAAACTTTAAAATAAATTTGTATTTCCTTTAAAAGCAGATTTATGGGAAGGATTTTTGGTTCATACATAGATCTTTGTGTGAGTATCTTTCAGTGTCTTTTTTAAAGGTGCATTTATGAACTGCCAGAGAGTGAGAATGTTTAAATGTGGTTTATGACTGCCTTTAATGCTTCAAAGACTGTTCTCTATTTCATATATATTTGTGAAACTCCTTCCCTGGAGATATGAAAGCAAGAAACTTTAGGTAAGTAAGATTATAAGGGGACAAGAGAAATACAGGATTGGGGGACAGAAAATCCCTCTGTTGGGGTAAAGAAGTCCTACTCTGAATGAATATTTGTGTAAACATCAGTCAACCATCCCAATAAATCCAGAAAAATCCAGTGTTCCAGGTAATGAACACTCATTGTCCACCAAATCTCTGCACCTCTATTGTAACCAAAATATCTGATTGATGAGATAAAGGAACCACTTACTTTGTAGCCCAACACCTCAGACTCATTCTCCATTGTTTTCACATGCTCCCAGTTGAGGCAGATTTTGGAATTTGTCAGCTTCCAGGCGATGTTTGCTGGAGGTTGACTTGGTGCTTTAAAAAAAGAAATAAAAAGGATTATGATGATAACGAGATAAACTGAGTATTAATTTTCATAGTGAATCTAAATGAGCTGCTGATATGGGAGTAGCAAATGCTTGGGTACCTAAAAGAGCAAAACAACATTTTGCAGTCCATCATTGCTCTGGTATTAGTCAGAATAAAGATCTATTCATAGCACAGAACCTCTTACTGTGAGACTTCATTTGCAAAATTAGGCACAGCCTGACAGCGTCTGACAGTTCAAGTTATATTTGAGAGATTTTGTGCAAGGAAAATGTTGTTCCATTCTGTATTTCCGTGTCCTAGAGGATGTTTTGCTGTCTGGATCTCCGAAAAAGCTAAAACTGAGAGCAAACGACAGAAGCCAAGATTTCCATCAGCCAGGACAGGTTACAAAGAGCTGCACATGAAAGTCTCCATGTGATCCACCATGAAACATTGTAGGATTTTAGAAATTCTCAGCACAATAGGCTGAGAGCAGCTTTTTCAAAGGCTTTTTATGCCTAAGTGCGAGGACTTTGAAAATTTGCCTACAAGTGACTGGAATTGAATCCTGTGTGAACATGTGAGGGTGGAGCTGAGCCTTTGAACTGAGCTCGGATTTAGGCCAACACGTTTTCTCCTGCTCCATGGCACATCCTGCCAGGCCCTGCTGGCTGGTGGCACAGGAAAGGAGGGTTGAAACAGAGGGAAAAAAGAGGAGAGAGCTGGAGAAACACATTCCAGCCCTGATTCTAAATTGTTTAATCTGGGATCCTTCTCTTCCCCGCTGTGTGCTGGTGAGTGATGGAAGGAACAGTTGATCTGGTGATAATTTCTTTCATTTCCCACAGAGATAAAACAAATGGATGGGTGCTGCTGTTTCATATCCATCTGCCTCGTGGTTTTGGAGAAGTTTAATCCATCGCTCTGGTAGGGAATGAGATGTTGGTGGAGCTCCCAGGTGAACGTCCAGGGGTGTCCTTCCATCAGCCACACTGTCAGTGTTGGAAAAGATTCATTTCTTTATGAAGCCATTTATCTACTCTCACATACATCAAACTGCAAATTTATTTAAATATGGCTTGAAAGCTCGTTGTTGCTTTCAGGAAACATTTTATATATGGAATTGGATAACAAAATAGTCACAAGAGGCAAAGGATGTCAAATACTTCATTGGCTGTGCACTCTGAAGAGGTTTGAAATCACTCAAAAATGGGTGAATTACAGCCTTGACCAAAGCTTTTTGACATAGAAACTTAAAGCTATCTTAATTCATGATCTTGAGGCTGAAAAAACACCACAGGAGGATTTGCAAAACAAAATTATCTGGGTTTTTTCCAGCCAGAAACCAGAATAAGTGGTAAGAGCACTTTCCCAAATCCATAGGAATATCTGCTAGTAAACCCAAGCAGTTCCAGGTCTAAGATTGGCAGATTATTTCCTCAATTAATTCCTTGTAATCAGTGCTCTCAAGAATAATAGAAATCCCAAATATCTGCTTAAGTTTATTGAGGTGCTGATGTTATTGTCATGGTTTAGCAAGCAAACACTTGGCTTTATTGCTGTACTGAGCTGAGGTTTATCCATGCAAGTATTTCCAGTATCTATATGTAATATTGATATATTTAATGTGTATCTATTTGTAAGGGAAAAAGAAGAGGAAGATAAAAAGATAAAAGGAAGAGGAAAAGGAAGTTGAATGGAAAAGGAAAGGAGAAGGAAAAGGAAGGAGAAGAGGAAAGAGGAAGTGGAATTTCTGCAATCCATGCCATATAATTAAAGAACCAGAAGAGAACAGCTCTTTATGGAGCCATGTCCATGGTTTGAGGACCTCAATTCCACCTCCCTAAGTACTTTCAGCTGAAACCAGGATGTCACCTTAGACCTTACATTGATCTTAGAGAAGGACACTTCAATCAGAATTGCACCTCTTTGGCAGAAGGATCACTTCAGCTCTGCTGAGTCCCTGCAATAATGGCATGAGCAGAAGGCTGCAGGAGTGCTGGATGCTGAGCAGGGAGACAGAGCTATTACTTTGGAGCTCCATCTCCTGCTCCAGATGCACATTGTTTATATTCTCTTGACATATTATCTCTTCTCTTATTGCAAGTGCTTGCATCTTCCCCAGACAGAGCTTGAAATTTTAATCTATATATTTAAATATTAAAAAGGTTATTTTGACTTTAATTTTTAAATGAACCATTAGCACAATCCTGAATTTGACAGAAGATAAAGTAGATGTAAAACAAAAGCAAATTTATTCCTTCTGTGTTTTGTCATTTGACTGCCATGTCTTTAACTTGTCTTTCATTCAGATGCACATAGGAATAGAGGGAAGAATTCCCAGAGATGAATCTATTTTCTATTGAAAAATGGACTGTGATGAAAGTCATGGAATCACAGAATGGTTTGGTTGGAATAGCACTTAAATTTCATTTCATTCAACCCCCTGCCATTGTCACAGACACCTTCCACCATCTCAGGTTTTTCCAAGCCTTGTCCAACCTGGTCTTGGACAGTTCCAGGGATGGGTCTTGTTTGAGCCCTTCAGAAATATCTTCTCTTGCTTTAGTTTTCATTGTTTTATTTACAATAAATATTGGTTTTGTGGCAATTAAAAAAATCAATTAACTCATTTTTCAAGTTGTTCCTATCTTGCACTTGGAGCAATGGCATGGAACAGCATATAGAAAAGAGGCAAAACTGGTGAAACTCAGGAGAAATATTTCCCTTTTATGCTAAAGTGCTGATCAATAATTTACTGGGAAAACAGATTCCAAGGAAAAGAAAGCAGCAGAGGGCTTTATTTTTAGTTATAATTTAAAAAAAAAAACAACCCACAACTAAATTGTGTTTATATCAATGTATCCCTTATGCTGAGCTCTGCAGTGCAAAGTTCAGAGGTGTGAAAACCCCTCTGTATTTGGTACATTCAACAGCTTCCTTTAAAACCCCCAAACCAACACAGCCTCACCCCAGAATCTCTTGTCTGGCCTGTGGGACATCCCTCCTTTATTGGCTCTGCACCTCTGGAATCCCCTGAAAGCAAGGGGGCTGCTCTTCCTGGGCAAACACAAATCCTCCCTCGTGGGCACTGGTTTAGGACCAGAGGAAGTTTCTCAGTCACTGATTTTGTTGTCTGACTTATGAAGAAATTTGGGATTCAGTTTTCCTTGCTGTTGAAGCCTTTGGCAGGGATGGGTCATGGGGAGCTGGGATGTGCCTGTCCCAGCTGGGAATTTGGGACCCTTGTGTGGATGCCATGGGACAGAGAGAGAAATGGCAAACGTTTCTCACAGTGGCTTGTGAGAACTTTCAAGGAGTTATAAAGTTGTGATAACTTGTTAAGCATAAACAATCTACAGGTGGTGTTTTTCTACTTTGTCTTTCTGTTCTTCTCAATTCATACAGCTCCCTGGAACTGTATGAAAAAGGTGTTTTTGTTAACTAAGCAATCAAATAGAATCTATCGTATCACTCTATAAAACTGCACAGTTCTCTTCAATAAAACCTTCTTTTGCTCTTTCTATAAAACTGCCTCTCACCTGTTCCTGTGTCATTCTCAGCACAAAAGTGACCCCCTTGTTGTGCCAAACCCAATACTCACGGGATTTTTTGGTGGTGACATTCACGGGGGTGCTGGAGGGCCCTGTCCCCGCAGTGTTGTAGGCTCGGACTGCTGCAAAATACACCGTGTTAGCTCTCAGGCCCGTGATGTTTTTGGCTGTCACATTCCCACTGACTCTGACCTTCCCAGCTGTGCTTTCCTTGGGATCATCTATCCAATATAAAACCTAAAAAGCGAGAACAAAGAACAGGCAATTCATTGTGTTCCAGCAATTAGAGGCTTGGCTGGGAAGCAGACATGCTGACAAGGAAGATTTCGAGGAATACAGGATTTTTTTTGTACTCCAATCTAGCAGGATGTAAACCCTGGCATGAATATTTATAGAGAAGCAATAACATTTCAGAGACTGAATCCCAATTAAGGAAGGAAATGAAATCCTTAAATTTACAGATGTCCAGAAGGAAACCTTTGATAAGGTAAGGAATGATAAAAGCTTTGTTGGTTTTATGGTTGAACACAATGAAAGAAAACCTTAAGATATACAAAAGAGCATTTATCTCAATCATCTAAAAGGTTTTTAATTATTTTGTATCCTGGCTCTAGTTTTGATTCAGTGACACCTACTTAGACTTGCTATTTTTTTCATTTAGTAATTGACTTAGGAAGGTTTTTGGACTGTACTCTTACTACCTTCATTTATACCTTGTAGTGATAGCACAGAATTTAAAGCGTTTTTGACTTGTTTTCCTCTTATCTACAAATAAATTTTTAAAAAAAGGAAAAAAAAAAAGAAATTGTTTCACTATGCAAGTAAAATGACCAGGAATGATATCTGACATTACTTAATCCTAAAATCACAGACTCATTTAGGTTGGAAAATATCTTTAAATCCAACCATTAACTCAGCAATGCCAAGGCCAGCACTAAGCCACATCCCCAAGTGCCACATCCACACAGCTTTTAAATCCCTGCAAGGATGGGGACTCCTCCACTGCTCTCTTCAAATGTTTGAGTTAATGGTTGGACCTGATGGTCTTAAAGGTCTTTTCCAACCTAAATGATTTCATTAAGAGGAGGGAGAAGTTAAAAGCCTTTCAGTGCACCACAGCACAAGCTCTGGGTAGTTCTGGAGTACATTTATCCAGCCCTGCTCTGTCAGCAGTGCCTCGTGTGCCTGTCCCCAGATCTGAGCACAGAAAATCTGTGACAGAGCTGCAGTTCTGGGCTGTAAACCCTTCTGATAATCTCAGGTGGCTTGCTGCTAATGAGAGCCAGGGAAAGAGCTCCACGCTCTTGGAAGCAGCAGTTTGTTAACTGGGAGGAGGAACCAGACGGCCAAAAGGATTCTGGACAGCAAAGGGACAAATTCAAGGTGTCAGAGCCCGTCAGCCCGTGGCCCAGCCCCTCACCTTGTAACCCAGTCCCTCACCTCATAGCCCAGCATCTCACCTTGTAGCCCAGCACCTCACATTGTGGTCCAACTCCTCACCTCGTAGCCCAGCCCCTCACCTCATGGCCCAGTCCCTCACCTCATGGCCCAGTCCCTCACCTCGTAGCCCAGCCCTGTGCCCGTGGCCCAGTCCCTCACCTCATGGCCCAGCACCGTGCCCATAGCCCAGTCCCTCACCTCATAGCCCAGCCCTGTGCCCATGGCCCAGTCCCTCACCTCATAGCCCAGCCCTGTGCCCATGGCCCAGTCCCTCACCTCATAGCCCAGTCCCTCACCTCATAGCCCAGCACCGTGCCCATAGCCCAGTCCCTCACCTCATAGCCCAGTCCCTCACCTCGTAGCCCAGCCCTGTGCCCATAGCCCAGTCCCTCACCTCGTAGCCCAGCCCTGTGCCCATGGCCCAGTCCCTCACCTCGTAGCCCAGCCCCTCACCTCATAGCCCAGTCCCTCACCTCATGGCCCAGTCCCTCACCTCATGGCCCAGTCCCTCACCTCATAGCCCAGTCCCTCACCTCATAGCCCAGCACTGTGCCCATGGCCCAGCCCCTCACCTCATAGCCCAGTCCCTCACCTCGTAGCCCAGCCCCTCACCTCGTAGCCCAGCACCCTGCCCGTGTGCCGGTTCCAGGGGATGGGCAGCCAGGACACCTCCACCGCCGCCGCCGACACGCTCAGCGCCGAGGCACCTGCCGGGGCCATCTGTGGCTCTGGGACAGGGAGAACACAGCTGCTGGGACATGCTGTGACCACAGGGACAGTGCAAGGGGAGGAGAAACAGCAGGAAGAGCCCCTGGTGTAACCGTGAGGTTTGCTCTCCACTTATGGTGGGATGTCAGCAAAAGCTGTTCTCAGAATTGCCCGTTCCCCATCTGCTGGAGCAGGTTTTCAGAGATCAGCCACACTGACTGGTCTGAAGAACCAAACCCTCTGAGAGAACACCTTTGAGTGTCTCCCAGTTTTCCCAACACACTCAGCAGGAGCACCTTGGGGACAAATTAGTCAAAACAAGCCCTCTGCTGAAAATCATTCTGAAAATTTGCCCCTTCCTATATTTAGTTCAGATTCCCATCTCCTGACTCACGTCTGTTATAAACATCCAATGAGCGGGTTTGGGCAGGGCCCTTAAAAACCCTGGGAGATCTGCCTGACTGTCACAGACAACTTCTCCTCCTGAGAAGCTGAGAGGCCTCAGGAACAAAATGTAACCAATGGTTATCTGCTGCTGTGGAATGCAACAGGTGCATCTGGGATTGGGCTCATGTGGTTGTTTCTAATTAATGGCCAATCACAGTCTGGGTGTCTCAGACTCTCTGTCCGAGCCACAAGCCTTTGTTATTCATTCCTTCTTTTTCTATTCTTAGCCAGCCTTGTGATGAAATCCTTCCTTCTATTCATTTATATAGTTTTATATAATATATAGTTTTATATAATATGTAGTTTTATAACTATATATTATATAGTTTTAATATAATATATATAATAAAATAATAAATATCATATCATATAATAAATAAATATAATAAATAAATATCATACCATAAAATAATAAATCAAGCCTTCTGAAACATGGAGTCAGATCCTTATCCCTTCCCTCATCCTCAGACCCCTGTGAACATGGTCACACCTGACCACATCTGTCACCTGTTGCTGCTACACACCCATTACCACTAAGAGTAGCTTGTGTTACCATCCTCTCCTGAGTAGATGATGGAAATGGAGCTCAGGGTCCCTTCTCCCTCGTTGTTGTAGACACCAACTTTGACCTCGAAAGGCGACAGGGGTGTGATGCTCTCATTCCTATAAATGTATTTGCTGGATTCCACCGAGGCCACCACAGCTTTGGTCCAGGTTGTTGAGCCAAGGGGACGGAACATGACGACGTAGCCAAAACCTTCCCCGTTCTGGAGCTCTTCTGACACTGGCTGTGGTGACAAGGCAGTCAATAAAGGTTTGCATGTATCCACAGTTTTAATTGAATCTTCAGTCACTGACTGTATTTTAGTGCTATTGATTTAGTTGGCTGTGCCTTGGAGAAGATAATAATGTTTGCCCCATCCGTCAATGTAATATTGAAATAAAAATCAAAATAATAAATCTATCGGGGCAATCAATTTAGAAACAAAAGATCTGATCAGCTCCATTAAAGTTGTCTCTTTCAGGCATGAAGTTTGCAAAATTAAAAGCATTTCACTCAGTACAAGTTGTAGCTTGTAGATTTTTTTCCTTTCCCCAAAGGGGCATAGGAATGCTAATTTTAAATAAATGATTTTAAAGGAAAAAAAGAGCTGGGAAGGAACAAATGTATACAAAGAAATGTGTGTCAGTTGTATAATTGCCTGCCTCTGAGTACAGTGCTGATGTATTTTTTTCAGCAAGAAGAAAGCCTCGAGTACATGAACATATTCTTATTTAAGTTCTCAGAACAGAAATGTTCCTGCAAGTCAACATGGCAAAATTAATGTTTCTATTAATAAAATCTCATGTCAAGATATGTATGAAAGGCTCAAACTGAAAAGGCAATTACAGCAACACCGTGTCCAGCATGAAGTTGGGTTTTTCATGGGATAAAAATACTTCCACATTCTCAAAGCAAGAGGACATTTATGAAATAAAATCAGGATTAAATGGAGAAAGGAAGTGTTTCTCAGTAAAACTGCATTTATTTCAGAGGCTTGCATCAAAGGAAGGGGCATGGAAAAGCAGGCATGGAAAATGGTGCTAAAAGACAGCAAAAGGGTCAGGACCTGAGTCCTGGCCCCAACATCTTCTGCAAACTCTAGGGAGCACAAACAGTGTGAGATGATAGGGGAAAATCTGGAAGCACTTCAGAACACTTCAGGGCACTTATGCTATTTTTATCATAAATTCCTTCTAATTCCAATAATAAAAATACTGATAATAAGCCTGCCCTGCATCTATAACACATGTCCTTCCTTCAGGGTTTTACTAACCCCCAATATTCCCCTTTCCATCTCTTTTCCAGCCCTGAGAGAATTAAATGTGAGGGATGATGCCTCACTGGGGATTTATAGGAGTTCAAGCAACTTTCTAGAGCATTTAATTTGTTTTTGAGGCTTCTGTGACCTCAGATTTAATCAAGACATTTAGTGAGCTCATCACAGAAAGCCGCAGAGTCGCGTTCAGTGTTGTTTGCTGGCCATAATTAGGATTTCTTCTGATTGTTTTTCAGGACACACTACAGAGTCCAACAGGATAATTTGACTGAGATATCTCAGGTTGTTTCCTATTTTCATGTTCTTCTGCTCCCAAAGAGGAGAAAATGAAACAAAAGAGTGAAAGGTTGCAGATGGAGGAAAACTTAGTTCAGGGAAAGTGGAATTTCACTCTGTTTGCAGCACAAGGAGGGGAAAACATCTGCAATGTTATTTATCCAGTGGGAATTTTTAAAAATTTCTTTTGATCTGATTTTTCACTTTTTGACCAAGCAGCTACCCCATCACTTCCCAGGCTTTTCCAGAGGCTGCCTGCCTTCATCCCAGGGCCTGTGGGAAGCTGCTGGGAGGCTGGAAATGGAGGCTCCTTCCCACAGCGCTCACTTTCTACTCTCTGAAATGACCTGCACTCACCCTTTGCAACTTGTCTGGCATTAACTGCTCTGGAAATGTGTATTCTCTGCTCTTGCTGGAGTGCTGCAGAATTAAAGGGCTCATCTCCTTTAACGCATAATAGGATATGTCTTGTCAGCACAGTGTTCCAGAATGGAAAACATGTAAACAAAAGTAGGAAAAATGTAAATGCAGAAAATGGCCAAGCAGATTAGTGTGTTAAGCACCTCCTGTACAATGGAGATAAGAGGGTTATGCAGACTTCTAAACATCTTTACAACATGCCTCTTAAACTGTTTATTTTCACAAATTGTTCCCTATAACACAGAAAACTTGCTGTATATCTTACAGGCTGTTTGCTCTCCACATCCAGGGTGAAATCCAGGCTCGACCAAAGCCGGTGACCAAAAGCCTTTGGATTTCAGCAGGGCTGTGGTTTCACCCACAGATTTATCCCTGTAGGACATGTGAGGTTCCCTGAGCTCAGAATTACCTCCCATGTGATGACCAGCTCAGAGCGGCTCCCTCCTCCTCCGCCGATGTTCGTGGGTGCCACCACGGGAACTGGAGAAGAAAAGAGGTTGGAGTGTGCAGCTTCCCCAAGGCTCAGCCCTGGGGCCAGCCCTCTTTAGTGTCTTTATGGCTAATCTGGAGCTCAGAAGTTCACAGCTGGCACTAATTTGGGTGGGAGTGTGGATCTGGGCAGGCTGGATCCAGTGGTGTGAAGCTCAACAAGGCGAAGTGCAGGGTCCTGCTCTTGGGTCATAAACCATAAACCACATAAACCATTGACAACGGCCCCATGGTGCACTCCAAGATGGGGGGAGAGTGGCTGGAAAGTGGCCCAGCAAAAAAGGACCTGGGGGTGCTGAAGATGAGGCCAGGTGTGCCCAGGTGGGGAGGAAGGCCAAGGTCACCTGGCCTGGATCAGCAATGGTGTGGCCACAGGAGCAGGGCAGGGATTGTCCCTCTGCTCAGGCCACACCTCCAGTGCTGTGTCCAGCTCTGGACAAGGCAGTGGTCAGCCAAATGTTGGACTCAGTGATCCTGGAGGCCTTTCCAAGGGGGTGATCCAAGCATTTCCTACCTCACCTGCAGCCTCCCAACAGCGGAACAAGGATCACATTGCACAGCAGCCCATTTGAAATGAAGTGAAATTATGTTTACACGTTTTCTAAGGCTGAAGCCATAGATGAATTTGATACATGAGTACCCTGGTTCAAAAAATTAATTAAAGAACTGGAAGCATCAAGTATCTGACATTATTATGCCTCATCAACTAATTGGCAAAATGATGTTCCATTCAGACTGTAGCTGCAACACTACTGATTTACTAATTATGCATTTGTTCAGTAAACATGTTGTTGGAGCAATATATTAATTTTTTTAATTGGTTGTATGCTTATCTTAGTGAATTCAAAACTCACAAATTGCTTTTCTCCTTCTCCCAAGACTGTAAGTATCCAAAAGTTGGTTGATGAGAGCTGGATTTCTCCAGCATTCCACAGGTGCGTGGCACCAGAGGTGGAGGACTGAGATCAGGGAACTTTGTTGAGGTTGAAGGGGCTCATGGTGGAGAGCCAAAGAAAATATCAGCATTTCCTGCCTCTTGCTTTATATTTCTTCTTTAAGATCCCTTCCAACCCAGCCCATTCTATGGTTCCATGTTATCATGTTCTTTTTCAGCTGCTGGAGATGTAGAAGAGAAGAGGACATCCCTGGAATGGGCAGAGACAGGAACTCTCTACAGGACATTTGGTAGTACCATCTCCAAGTCCTACCTTCAGAAATTTCAAGATTGTTTTCTCATTGTCTTCATTCATCTCTCACTGTCTGAAAAGCTGATGTGTAGGGTGAGAAATAGGAGGGATGTTTACATCTCAGAAGCCCTTTTTTCAGAGATTTTGGGCAAGTTTTGCCAAATCTGCTTGTCCTTCCCATTGACAAATGCATTAACCCAGCTTCAGAGGTGCCAATAAAAGCAACAGTGCTTAACGTTCACAGAAACTGATGTCAGCCCATAATATAATTTGAGTTATATATAATTAAATATATGAATTATATATAATTTCCAGATTTTAGTCCACGTATAAATAAATATCTGATTTTATCCTCTAGAAATGGGAGGAATTTCAGAATAATTTTGCTGTGCAGCCATAAGAGTGAGTAGAAGAGAGCAAACAGGCTGGGCTCTCCTGGAGGGTTTCACAGGGCTGTTCATTTTTGTCACTCACAATCAATGTCTTTGGGCACATCAGAGGCAAACGATCTCAGACTGACAAGAACTGCATGGAAACAGCAAAACAAACTTCCAAGCCTGGTGTTTCACTGTTTCATGAACCAAGTGATGCTCAATTAGCTCATGTGTTAAATGTGTTTGGTACTTGCCACATTTGCAAGGGGAGGATTTTGTGCTGCGGCTCAGCAGAGCCTCAACTGGGTCAGAGTTGAGAAACAGATGAAAATTTACAGCTGAGTGCACCAACAGAGGCTCAATTAATTCTCAGCTCCATTTTAATGAAATGAACAGTGGCTCATTTGCATTCACAAATCTACTAAAGCTCAGATTTTAGCTGGCAAAATAGTTATTACAACAGCTCAAATACACCCTGTCCTGGTCAGGTATTTGCTGTCCACACTGCCCTGCTGATTTCAGGTTCCTATTCTGACTAAAAAATTAAAGAAGCTGATATTGTCCCACTGCACTGCAACATTTTGAGACAGGGGTTTAGAGCAGTGAAGGGGTTAAGCAGCTAAAAACCTGAAGTGAGTCTTTCTGCCTCTTTTGTTAAACTTCAGACAGAGCTACACTGCACAGAAATAATCTTCCTTGTGTCATTGCCATGATAAATAACAATAATTTTATTGTTTCTTTCTCCTCATTGCCCCAGTCTTGTGAATCCCTCTAAGAAACAAATAAATAAAAGCTTTAAAAGATGAAAGCTTTCAATGCCTGCCTAGTTTTGAATATCCCACTTCACAAAGCCCCACGGTGGTAACAGCCACAAAAACCTTCTCAAGATTAATTTGATCTTTGTGATCAATCATGTAATATAGAATATTCATTTGAGATACTCTGCTGGGAAATTTAAAAAATTTGACCTCCTCTGGAAGGTGCTGGGGTTGGATCTAGATGGTCTTTAAGGTCCCTACCAATCCAAACCATTCTGGGATTCTATTCCCAGAAACAAATGGATTCCACATTCTAAAAGAAATGGATTTTCTTATGTACAATGTACAATACTGTATTTTGAGTTCTGTCCTGAAATGCAGCTTGCCAAACTTCAAAGCTTGGCAAATGAGATAAACAGAGAAGAGAAAGTGGGTTGTAAAAGCTGCTTCCATTTTACTGCTTTCCATCCCATAAACACTGATTTTATAGGTGGGAGACAGTTGATAAGCAGGGAGCTGGGAGGAACATAAAACAAACCAAAGGTTTGGGCTGCAAATAAATTGTACCAAACTGAGCAGGTCAAAGGACTGACAGTGTTGGTCACCCAAGAATGAGGCAGCTTCCCCTGAGGTGCCAAGTCCCAGAAGATAAATGAGGAAAGGTCAGACAGACAGACAGAAAGGATCCACTCTGGAGTCAGTAGAAGCTGCTGGTTTCACTGGGCTTTGATGCTGTCATTTATTTCATCCAATATCCAGAGTTAAAATTATCCTGCTCCTCCTGATGCTCAGGTATCAAACCTCTGCAGCCAAGGGACATGCAGAGAGTGAAGTTGTCATTTCATGTGCAAGTCCCTGAGCAGGATAAAAACTTGGATTTAATTGGGAGAACAAAAATTGTTCTGCCCAATTGCTTGAGTGAAAGGTTGGTTGGGACACATCAAAGGGAGGAAGACAGGATAACTCCAGCTTTTATCGTGGAATGCCAGAGGGGTTTGGGTTGGAAGGGACCTTAAAGCCCATGGAGTCCCACTCCTGCCATGGGCAGGGACACCGTCCACTATCCTGATGCCTTGTGCAGGCTGCCCTAGAGCAGAGGCTGGGCAGAGCTCCAGAATAAAGCAGGGATTGATTCAAAGCATCTCCTGCATGGATCCACCTTGGGCAGCACCAGAGCCCAGCCAGGGCTGCACCCAAGATGAACCAAAATGGCCCCAAAATGCACGGCCGGGCACGGGCTCTGTCCCTGGGATCAGTTCTGCTCCATTTGCATCTTGCAGTTCATTGTCCCATTCCAGCTTTAGCCCCTGCAGTCCCACCCTGCTTGTTTTTCTCTCTCCAGCCCACAGTGTTTGTGCTCTTGGGTCATTTGTCCTTGGTGCCCAGCTGGAGCAGGAATTGTTTGGTGTCCCTGCTCTGTGCACAGAGCTCACCATGGCCTGATGTGAAGCTCAGAACTGCACACTAAAGCAGCACAGAATGTGAAAAATAGAAAAGCTCAAAGCTGAGGCATCAATCCCAGGTTGCTCCAAGTCCCATCCAGTAACGCGTTCTCGTGGAACACGTTGGATCCCCGCCAGTGGAATTGGGTAAATGAAATTCTCACAGCTGAGAGCTGGAAAAGCCTGGCAGGAAGCAGGGCCTCACCTGCTGCTTTGGTTTTCAGGAGAGCAAAGCCTGGCAGGAAGCAGGGCCTCACCTGCTGCTTTGGTTTTCAGGAGAGCAAAGCCTGGCAGGAAGCAGGGCCTCACCTGCTGCTTTGGTTTTCAGGAGAGCTGAGGGCCTGCTGGGCTCCCCGATCCCAACGCTGTTGCTGGCGACCACACGGAACTCGTACTCAACCCAGGGGCTTAAATCCACCACGGTGGCCTTGTGAGTCCTGCCATTAATGACCTCAGGAGCTGAAGGCAAACATGACACCAGCAATGGGTTTTTGAGGTAATTAATGTTACACACTAAATAAAAAATCCAAGGCAAGTCCCAAATTGCTCACCTGTGGCGACCGCCTGCCATCCCACCGAGAAGGGAGTCCTGGTCTGGACACTGTAGATCTGCACTGGGCTGTTGTTATCTGCTCCAGGCTTCCAGGATAACCCAGCAGTTGTGCTAGAAACATGTTCAACTTTAACATCTTCTGGTGGACCTGGAGGGCCTGACACGATCAGCATTTTAAGAGGAAAGTATTGGGAAGAGAAGATTCACCGCTGGAACGGGTTGGGCAATTCTTACTTTCTCAAGTCAGAGGAATTATTCATGAAGCTGCAGTGTCATAAAAGCTGCACAATCCCTAAATGATGGCTCCATGCCTGGATTTCATTTTTATGAGTCAGGAAAATTAATGTCTTGATGTCGCTAACATGAAAACTACAAACAAAGGAATGATTTCTTCTTTGTGTCTGACAAAGAAAGGCACCCAGTGTTGTCTTTTGTTGAACCATTGAACAGCCTAAGAATTCCTACTGAATTCAATCAAAAATGAGGTTCAGAAGGAATGCAGGATAGTGCACTACACAGATTTCTGATTTCTCCTAGGGTTTACAAACCTGCTCCCATGACAGCATTTCCTCACTGCTGGCAGTAAAAAGCTGAGTTAGAAAATATTATTTCATATTATCTCCAAATAGGGGAAAGGAATGAGGTATTTTGATTTTCCCAGCTTGCACAGTGACCCAGAGATGCCTGAAGGAAATAACAACACTGGTGAAATTAGAGGATTTCCCTCCCATCTGTGTGGCCCAAAATTTTTGCCAAAGACACCAGGGCAGAACTCCAGAGGTTCTCCTGAGGTTGGCTGAACACCAGGATCATGCTGGCCACAATTTTGGGGCCAAGAGTAAAAGAAAGGGAACATTTCACTATTGAGATGTGGAATTGACATCCTAGGAGCTATTTAAACAATAGCTGATGTTAAGAATTCCTAATTCCTCTAGAAGATAAGTGTGTCTCCCTTACAGACATACCTCTCACAATTATATCTGCCGTTGCAGATTGAGTGTCTAAAGAAGTTTGCACCATGCATACATATTTCCCAGAATGATGCAGCTGAATATTTCTTATCATCAAATCCCCAGCAGATTCCTGGAGAGATTAAAAAAAAAAAAAAAAAAAAAGTAAACTAATCACTCACAACATGCTTTCCATACTGGGCATTTTTATAAATTGCTCAATATTAATACAAAATTCAGCTTTTAAATTAAAATATTCATAGCTATCATCAGTTTCTTTCATGGGGACATTTTTATTATGGCTTCACAAATAACTCAAGCGCCTTTATGAAATTTAGGGAAGAAAAATAAATGTTTGCAGCCCTTGTAAAGAAACAGTGATTTGCCAGGCACATAAAGAGCAAGGGAGGAATTACGATAAACATTCGTGTCGTGTAAAGACTGTGGCAAAGAGTTTCATGAAGGACTTTGGGAAACTCACCCTCCCAATCCTTTCAAAGTGATGGATTCCTCTGCTCAAATCAATCCTCTGGCCATTGAACGACCACGAGAAGCCCACGTGCAGGGAGGGGTCGTGGGACACCTGGCATGGCAGGACAATGCTCTCTCCAACTGTTGCATCTGTGTCAGAGGGGGGAACAGTGATCACAGTCCTTTCTGAGGAGACAAAAAAAATTACATGTTTTTAATTAAAGTGCTTATAAAAATAGTAGTTATGGAAGGAGGTTTGTGCCATTCGGGAAATGACTTCAAACTGGCCCAAATGTTCTGTAATAAAGGGAATTCTCTCTAATATAGAGATGATTTTAGACCACTCCTGTGGCAGTACCACGGCCACATTGTGTGCCTGAGAGTGAGCAGATGGGAGAGGAACACTCTAAATTAGTTTATATTTATATTAGGAACACTCTAAATTATACTACTTCATAAAGCCCATAATCAATAGTTATGATTTCAGTCAAAAACTACAGAATTCTCTTAAAAACATGCCCATGGTTCTCCAAACTTGAAGAATTATCCTGGCCAAAAACTGCAGCAAAAGCAAAATTGCTGCTCATCTCCACTTACTTTAGACATTGACATCCTTAATCTGTGTTAATGTCAGTGGAACTTTCCTCCACAGCACTGCTCAAGTTACAGCTTCAAAGACATTCCAGGCAGGAAAATTATTAATTTGATCATTTTTAACCCATTACATGGAGACCCAAACTCGCAGCTCTTATGAAGGGAAGTATCAGCTCACTGAAGGGGAAAGAAATGGGTTTATATGGCTGCACTTTTGTTGATATGACTGGCAGACAGATTAGAGATAACAACCACTTTGTTGTAAGCAATTCCTTTGAATAAAGCTTTTGTGCATGCAAGTGTTATAAAGTGAGAATTTAGACACACGTAGAAAATGAGAGCAGAATCACTTCAACAATATTAATATGATCTGAAAATAATGTGAGAGGAGGAGAAGGGAATTTGCACGAGCTGGGTTAGTTCAATGCTCGTCACAGCTTAATCCAGAATTTAGGTGAATCTTAAATCGCAGAATTCTGGAAAGGATTTGGGTTGGAAAGGACCTTAAATCCCACCCAGTGCCACCCCTGCCATGGCAGGGACACCTTCTACTGCCCCAGGGTGCTCCAAGCCCCACCAGCCTGGCCTTGGGCACTGCTGCTATCATAAGAAATCTCCTTTATTATTGGCCTGAAACTGTTTACCTCCACCAAATAGATCTTGAAAACTGTTCTTTTGGGAATTACACTGGCTTTGGGCATGAGGTGTGTTTTTGAGTCGTGATAACAAAAAATAAATGAATTTATTATGGTATTCCATCCTCTTGCACCTCTTGTTGTATCCTCCTCATCCCCACTAATTCAGAATGTTCACTTGGGTGATATTTTTTACTTCTTTTATGGGCTTGTCTTCAAAACTTTTATCTCAAATACTTTTAAAAGCTTCTTAAAAGCTCTTGGTTCTGTCTTATCCATCTATCTTGCTTAGCAACAGCAAACATGCATTATATGGCAAATCCCATTCCAGAGGAGAAAAGAGGGGAGATGTGAGTGCTGGAGGTGTAATAAAGACTTCTCCCACAAAGAATAAACAACTCAATGAGCAGCAATAAACTTAATTTGCACATTAGCTATGCTTTCCCAAGTTCTGACATTTCAGTTGAAAATAATGCTGAAGCAATGAGGCCTATAATTGAACAGCCCAAACTTCTCCAGAGGGGAAACAAAAACAAATGTTCCCTGCAAACAAGATCATTTTTATACCATGTTGTTACTTGGTGTTTTAATAAACTTCATAAATGGCAAACAAAATAGGGTTTTTTTTTTCATGTTTTAATGGGATTTTCCCATATTGCCACAATGTATGGGACATGTGAAAGGGGAGAACCTCAGTGAGGTCAGAGCTGCAGAAACCTGGAAGTTCTTGGTGTTTTCATTGCTGGCTGTGCTGCAGCCCCATCTCAGGTCACACTCTGAGCTGTATCAGTGCTAATTGCTCTGTCAGAAGGTGAATATTGAAAATATTTTTGCCAGATGCAAAGTTAAGGAGGAGCTCACACTGCAGGACCACTCTGATTCTGCTGAAAAGAAGGATATTAAAATAAAATAGTTACAAAATCAGAGACCCTTGGGTTGGAAGGGTTTCTGAAGCCCACCTCAGTCCACAAAAGAAGGAAATTCTGAAATACCTTTCACAATCAGGTTCCCTGAGTTTCTGGCAGTTCCAAACTGGTTTGTGGCGACACAAGTGTAAACCCCAGCATCCACCTTGGAGATGTTGGAGATCCTGAGGCTGCCATCCTCCAGGAGCACCACCCTGGGGAAAAACAAACAAAATGGAGCCCCAGAATCCCAGGATGGCTTGGGTTGGGTGGGATCTTCAAGCTCATCCCACCCCCTGCCATGGACAGGGACAGGGACACCTTTCACCATTCCAGGTGGCCCCAAGCCCTGTCCCACCTGGCCTTGGCCACTTCCAGGGATGGGGAATCCACAACTTTCCTGGGCAACAATAGGAAAATGGAAATAAAACAGACTCCTGGCAGAGGAATAGTAACAGAAATGCAGTGCTCCTTTTAATATCTAAAGGTTTCCATCATGGTTTTTCTTTTCTACAGTAAGCTGAATCTGTGTGAACCAATTTTCACCTCTTCTGCTTTTTAATTTCTAGATTGGAAATGCTTTATTGGCAAACTGGGGTTGATCATTCACTTTTCCAGGTGGCTTTCTTCCAGCAAAATCTGGAATCTCAAGAAAAAGTCAAAAGACTCAACTTGCTACTTACTTGTGTTCTATTTTACCATGGTTTTGTTGTATTTTTTTGATTTTATTTTACAGATCCCACTGCTCCTAAGCCAAGCTAAGGTTGTGTGTGAGCCCAGCTGCCCGTGGAGTTCTGTCAGGATTATTAAAAGATATTATCAGACTGGCTGAGATGCTCTAATGCCACCTCACAAGCCAAGGAGCCAAATCAAATCCATCCCTGTCTCATGGGGCCTCCAAACCACCCTGGAGTCGCTGAGTTGTTCATATCAGTGTGCAGAGAATTGGGGAAATTGCATTTAATGGTAATTTCAGGACCACTCCTGAGTTTTATGGACAAAATTAATTTTTGAGCTTGTTCATATTTTATTTTTCATGTTATTGAGATGCTTTGGGATGTAAGTCAGGACAAGGATTGGATGTGATTTCCTGGGATAAGCTGTCACTGTGCCTGGCACCCTTCTGCTGTCACATACAAGGGCAGGACTTCAGGATTTGGGGGATTTTCTACAGAATCACACAGAACACACACCCAAAAGTAGAGGATTTTCAAGCCACAGCTGAATTAGCAACGAACTTCAGCACAGAAAATATTTTTCTGTCATATTTTGGGACTTTTCCCCCCAGTTCTTCAACATCCATCGGGTAAATGTGGAACTCGAACAAATTTTTTTCTGAGTTTAGAAGAAATTTAAGACATGAAGGTCCTGGAAGTTTCATAAAAATGGGGTGAGGGTCCCTCTGTGCACCTCCTCTTGCCACTAAGCTCAGTCCTCAACAGGCATCAGAGAATCTGCAACCAAATGCCACATTTCCTTACACAAATAAATTCAGTGTAAGCCACAACTCCACAGGAAACCAGGCTCCATTCACTCACAGCAGCACTGCATCATTTTTTATATCCCTCATTTAATTGACATTTAACTCTAATACAAGGCTCCTTTCATAAAATAGAAAATATCTAATTCATGCATCACAGCTTGGGTATTTAATATTTATTACTAACAACATAAGATTGGGTGATGTACTGAATTATTAAAGGAAATGAACAATCACAAGAGCAGAAGTTGGAGCTGGCAGCAGCATCAGAACCATTAAACACACAAAAAACCCATCACAGTGTGTTTCTGTTTCCCATTCTGGCATTTTTACATCTGTAACTGCAAGTGGAACACACATCAGACCTTGTCCTGCTCCTGTTACACCTCCCAACAGCTCAGCTGGGAAGGAAAAGCACTAAGCTTGGATTTCTGGTGATCTTCTGGATTATATCCCCCTAATTTCACGTGTCCCACCCTCATCTGACCTTTCCCCGTGGGAATTAATAAAATTAGAGGGAAAATGAAAATGAAAATGAAGCAGATCTTAACAAAGATCTGCTGCTGAGGAGGGCAGGGTGGATCTGGGACCAGGACAAGCAGAGATGTCCCTGTGCAGCTGGGAGGGGAAGGGATTTGGGCTCGAGTGAAAAATCTTTGTTTCCTTGGCAATAATCACCAGGTGCTGCAGCAGCTCTGGGTTTGCCCCTTGTGGTACAGTGAGGGAATAAGTTCAGGTTTAATAATCCATCATTTTGACCAGGAACAGCAAAAGAGGAGGAGGCAAAGTCCCCTCCTCATACAGGGATGTGTCAGCTGAAGGGTATTGTTTGGATAAGGAAGGGGGAGTGAAGCTGTGCCAGGGGAGGGTTGGGTTGGATTTTTGGGAAAGGTTCTTCCCCCAGAGGGTGCTGGCACTGCCCAGGCTGCCCAGGGAATGGGCACAGCCCTGAGGCTGCCAGAGCTCTGGGGGAGTTGGGAAACCCTCCCAGGGATGCCCAGGTGGATTTGGGGTGTCTGGGCAGGGCCAGGAGCTGGATCTTGGCACCTGGGGCAGTTTCTGGTCCTTGTGGGTTCCTTCCTTCTCAGGATATTCCACAATCCTGTGATCCCAGGAGCTGGGCTGGTGTCACAGCTGTGCATCAACACAGCAGCCCTGGGTCCTCTCCCTCACACACTGTGACTGTTCCAAAGGCAGCTTTGAACATGAAGAAACATTTCCAAGTATTTCCCTTCTGCCTCTGCAATATTTTTTTGCATTAATGATCCTTTTCTTCCCATCAGCTTGCACCAGCCCCCAGAAAAACTGCTGGTGATAAAATAGGGGATGCAATGGAGTGGCTGGGTAACATATGGTGTTCATCAAACAGCATCCAAAGAGATTCCAGTGTGAATCAGCAAATGCTCAGAAATTGGGCACGTGAATAATAATTCATAACAAGCCACCTCAGTGTCTTTCTCTCCATCAAATATTGATGACCTGTTACTTTTACTGCAGTTGTACCTAAAAGCTCTTAGGTGCAAATTAAAATCCAGAAGTGGCATAAAGCAAAAAAAAAATTAAAAAGACAATCTCCAAGCCCAAAAGCTTCAATGTAGGTAAATACACAGGAAAAACAGACAGTAAAATACAGAATAGCAAAGGGGAGAAGCTTTGAAAGCTCCATCTTAGCCCCTGTGGATTCTGGTTACAGCTTTTCCACTGAAGTTTGGTCATGCCTCAGATTTTTCATCCCTGTATTCTTCATGATGAATTGAGACCTCGATAATTCCCATCTCTCTCATTTAGCCACTAAGAGGGGTTTGTACCCACTCAGGAGCTGACAGTGTCACGTTTGATCTGAAGAAATGCTGCTCTGAAACAATATTTCAATGGCTGGGCAGGCTGAGGATGGAATGGCTCTTTTAATGGATCAAAAAGGAGCTTAGCAGAGAGAAAATCTGCAAAATAAAAGCTCCTGAGTTGTTTGAAACAGGTCACGCTACCTAACAACAATTAGAGCGAGGAGTAAATAAAACACTCAGGCAGAATTTGTGTAACAGCACAAAGAACTCCAGAGTAATTAGTTTAGTGGGGAAAGGAATGATAAAAAAATGTTTTAAAAAGTGAGAAATTTCCAGCTGTCCTGAGGTCTGTGTCAGCAGAGGGGTGGGAAGACAGAGCACAGCAGAAAATCAAGATGCTGCATTTCAAATGGAAGAAAAACAACAGCAGCCTCTGAAACGCTGCCCCAGGTGCCAAGAACAGCAAAGTTGCCCTAAACTCCCTCAGAGCCACGACTGAGTGCCCTGGGTGGGTTCAGAGGGGCTGCACTTTGCCCTCTCCCATTTCTCCCCCAAATCAGGGAGCTGTGATGCACAAGGCTGTGGGAATATTGTCTTTAATGGGCTTTGGATCAAGCTCTGACAAATGGTTTAAAAAGAAGCTGTGAAAGGCACGTCTCACCTGCTGGAAGCCATTCCTTTTCACAACATTTGAGGTTGTGTGAAGGCTATAGATAATAATTCTTAGCAGCTGCATCACAAGACAAGGTAATTCCAAGTGCTGTGACGAGACAGAAAAGTTTAACTTGTCCAACACAATGCAAGGACAATATTTTGTCTGCCAGGAAAACTGGACTTCTCTCAATAAGTAAATAAGTGCCTGTCAAAGGCCCAAAAACACAAGATGTGAAGTAGATCTGATAAATGCAGGACTGTGAAAGAAGGAGGAGAAGGAAGAACTCAGGGCCCAGCTGAGTTCATAAATCTCTGAGGCACCAAGGGATTGCTTAAGCCCAGCCTAACTCTGAGCTGGCATTTCTGATTACAAAATCCTTGAATCCTGATCAGTCCTGCTTTCTCCTGTGCTCCTGCCTGGTGCTACCTCTGGGTGAGCAGCTTAATTAAACCAAGCAAAAGAAGAGATGGAAATCCAGTTCTGACTATTTGTGCAAAGTTCCTGCACACGGGGTGAGTTGGGAATGCAAAGAAATATTATTCCATGTAGAATTGTGAAATGGTTTGGGTTGCAAGGGACCTTAAAGATCATCCAGCTCATGGGCAGGGACACCTCCCACTGTCCCTGGTGCTCCCAGCCCTGTCCAGCCTGGCCTTGGGCAGTGCCAGGGAACCAGGGGCAGCCCCAGCTGCTCTGGGCACCTGTGCCAGCATTTTGTCACCAGCAATGTAAAGTATTTCTTCCTCATTCCTAATCTAACCTCACCCTCTTTTACTTTAAACCCATCAGATATAAATATTGAAATTCCCCTCTGAGTGATTCCATCAGGAGATGAGCACCATGTGCAGGCAGGGAAAACAAACAGCTTCCCCGGGATCTGCTGCAGCCACAGCTCCGTGTGATGTTCAAAAAGAAGAGTTTGCAAAGTTTGTGCAGAAGCCAGAGGCTGTGGGGAAGAGGTGAGAGCTCATTAAAATTGTCACACATACTTTTTAAGTAAAGAACTTGAGAAATCAAGCAGGGATGATAGGTACAGCTTTTAATTAACCAGGCCAAACAAACCATCTCAGAGCGTGTTGTCTCGTGTGAACAAAAGGTTGTTGATGGCTATTTGCTTTGATCTTAAGAGCATGAAAGAATAATATGTATTTAACAAGGCTGAAGGAAGAAATAAAATCTGAGAAAAGAAAGAGGTGTCAAGTCATTAGATTTAAAAGTGCAGCAGGGGTGGCTTTGTGCATTGCTGCATTGTTCAGCCAATCTGTTTTTGGGAGAGGGGGATGTTAATTCATGGAT